ATGATGATGATGATGATGATGATGATGATGATGATGATGATGATGATGATGATAAAGATGAGCATAGTATATCCGTGCAGATTAGGTACAACTGATGAGAATCTATGATATCCATGATGATGTTGTTTTTGCATTTTAGTTTTACTTTTAGCTCCAACTCTAGATCCCCACAGGCTGTCCTCAGGGGCAGGACACAGTCTTCATTTTGAAGCTAAATCGTTATCACTTCCCTAATATTAAAAAAAAGTTTAAATAATATACAGTATCATCCATGCTGATCACCCCTCAATATGTCTACTTCTGCCCCCCCCTTTCTTTCCCCCTCCTCACCTCCACCCCTCAATCTGTCTGTCCATCTCTCCCCAGGAGACCTCATTCACCACGAGGTCGTCGCCCTCATCCAGGCTGACCCCAACCTCACCGTGGACAACTGTGTGACCAAGTGCGACGCTCTCTTTGACCTGATTGACCAACACGATGAAGACCGCACGGACGACATGTGCAAACACGCCTGCGACTGGTCAGTATATATATATGTATATATATATATTTTTTTTTTAAATATTTTTTTTTTAAATTTAAAAACATTTTTTAATTATTTTTTTTATTTTAAATTTAAAAAAAAATTAATTAATTTTTAGAGTATTTTCGTTTTTACACCATCTCAACGCTCTATCAAAGATCCACCTTTCAACACCACCAACAACCAAGGCTTACAATTTTCCTACTTTTAATTATTCTTGATGGGAACAACGCAAGAAAACTGCTAGTTTATTTTCGTCTGTGTGGCAAAAAGTACTCAAACAAACTTAAGTGAATTGCTAGCGGCATCGACCATACTATAGATCACGTTTCGTTTGAAGGAACAGTTGACTGCTTGTGCAGTTCGCCAGAAAAAGGCGCCATCAGCAGGCCCGATTGTACTGTAGAAGATACATAGTAGCTTCGGTGGCCTAGTGATTAGACAAAAGATTCTCTAGTGAAGAATCTTTGATTAAACTACCGGACTCGTTATCGTGTGATTGCGAGTTCGGGGGTTCGAGCCTCCGCTCAGTCCGACCGTATGTCCTTGGGAAAAGCACTTTACACGAATGTTCCCTTTCGGCTCCGTCCTTTCGGAAAAGGACATTAAACTCGGAGATCCTGCTCTTAAATAACCTAACCTTGTTGATAGTTGCTTATAAACCTATATCGTTTCCCCATTTAAAAAAAAAAGAAGATAAATAAAACCCCAGTATTTAATGACAAAAGTACACGAATGACGTCATCATTTTTGTCCTCCACAGTGAGATTAACAAGACTTGTGACCATCACATGCATGTTACCCACCCGACCCACCACCCACACCCCACCCACCCGTGAAGACAAATGTTAAAAAATGGGAGAGCGTGGGTGTGAAGAGTATTCAAAATAAAATGGAAAAATTTCCCTTAGAGTTGATGTCAGAGTTTGTTGGTTTTCGCTTTTGCTTATTGTTTTTCTCATTGCAATTGTCGTTCATTTTGTTGTTGTTGTTCTTGTTGTTGTTGTTGTTGTGATAAAGTGAGTACGCGCGCGCGCGTGTGTGTGTGTGTGTGTGTGTGTGTGTGTGTGTGTGTGTGTGTGTGTGTGTGTGTGTGGTTATGTGTGTGTGTGAATGTGTGCGTGTGTGTGAATGAGTGTGTGTGTGTGTGTGTGTGTGTGTGTGTGTGTGTGTGTGTGTGTGTGTGTGTGTGTGTGTGTTTGTGTGAACGATGTCAAACTCGAACAAAAGTACACACGGTCCTGGAAAAGTGAAAGGATAAAAAGAAGAAAAGTTGAATGCCAGTTCAATTAGTCATTAAAACAGTAGTGGGGGAAATCAGAAAGAGAACCAGCTGGTATTTTCAAAATTTTGAGGCTATGACGCAATTTAAAAATGAGTATTTTCATCCTCCAAATCATGAAGTAAAAGCAACTTCTTATGTCATCAATTATGTCGTCTTTGTTTGTTTTTATTTCAATGGCGGAACAAACTTGAGCCATAGAAGGCGTGAGGAGGGAGCTTTCTCATCCATCGGCCACAGCAAATCCTGCTTGCGTCTGCGGATAGATCTCACATAATAATTATTTGTCTACTGCTTATTATTAAGCAACTATGTATAAGCAACATACATATAGTTACACTCATAAGATAGTTGCCTAAGTCATATTTGGCAGGTTTTGGAATTTTTGGTTCTGAAATGAAGAGCTGAGCCAGCGTGGTATTACATTTCACTGGGACAAAAGAATAATCAAAATATACAAGGAACAGAGTGTACCAAAATTCACGTGTTTCAGGGCAGGGCCAATTGTTCGAAAGAAACAGTTTTTAAAATATTTTTCTCAAAATAGCTTCAAATGACTTAGGCATTTATCTTAATGAACGTGACGTTATAATCCTGAGTGACAACACGATGGTTTCAGGCTCTCGTCAATCTTTGGACAGATGGAGTTATTAATATCTTCTCAAAACCTGTTCATATATATATTTTTTTTGCTTTTGATCAAAATGTTACTCATCTGTCTTGAACAGAAGTTCAGATATTTGTGGTTGAATAAGGTGGGGGTTTATCGGTGTCTTTGGTAAAATTGGTGACTTCCATAGCTTCAAAATTGCAACTCAGCTTTATTTGGTATAAAATTGGTGAAAATTTTCTGTAAAATCTTTAAATAAATGTATCTTTAAGAGGACATTAAAGTTGTTGAAACAAAACAAAAGAAAAAAAAAAGGCAACAAAATTTACCATGCGAACTTCAATTGCAATTTCTTCGATTTCGCCATTTTAACGAGAGCCTGGTTTTATAAGGATGACACACACGATATTCTTTCAGTGCTCACGTCAGACATGCCGTCTAGACCGCCTCCATCTTTTTCGTCACGACCTGGTCTGAGTTTCGGCCTGTCAGTGTTGATGGTTCTCTCTTCGTTCTTCTTTGACCCTTCAATCACACGTAAGAAGACAATGGTCAGAACACAATGTACCGATAATATATTACTGTTGTATTGTAATGCGCTCATAGCCTGTGTACGTTAATCGGTACTGAGCGCCATGTAAATGGCACAATGTTATTATTAAGACACGTGATAAAATTGTGACGCTGTGGAATCACCAACTCATCACTACTTGCCACATGGAGTTATTGGTACGTGTATCATCTTAAAGTGGACTTAAAGCCTGTACATTTGTCTTGCTTTTGATGAAAAAATATTCAACTGTCTTGAAGTAGAGATATTTGGCGACTGAAAGGGGCGTTGTCGTCCACTGTACAAGGAAAAATAAACGAGAATATAGCTGCATCTTTGGAAACTGAAAATTTACATTTTTGTGTCTTTGATCATCATTTTCAGTAAAACACAGAAATGGGTTCTTAAATGGACATAAAAGATACTGAGCCTCCCCCATAAACCCGAGAAAAATGTCCCAAGAGGACCAGTAAAATATCAGTTTCTTTGGTCTCATTATTTTGACGAATGCCTGATTTCCCCCCGAGGCACCACACAAATCAATAACCTCCGAGAATAATCATGGTAGGTGTGAACATTTCACACGTCCATAAACACAATACGTAGTTTAAATTTACTCGTGAAACTATAGCAAGGCGTAAGCAATTTTTGATAACATAATATTCCATATTGATTCCCCCCCCCCTCTCTCTCTTGTGTACACTCGTTTGCCGTGGCAGGGAAGCTTTCGAGTCCCTATCGTCACCCTTGTAAGGCAATTGCCTGAGTCAATTTTGGCTGGTTTCGAGTTTTTGGCTCTGAAATAAAGAGCAGAGCCAGCAGCTTGTTAATATAGTTCACTAGGGGAAAAAAACCCAAACACCGGTGAAAGTAAATCTACCAAAATTCACGTATTTCACAGAGTCAATGCTTGGAAAGAAACACTTTTTTTCTCATTTTCTAAAAATAACTAAAAAAGATTTAAGCATTTGTTTTATGAACGTGGCGTTTTGATCCCCCAAGGCATAGACTAGCCTTAGTATGACAGAGTGTCTGACAGCAGTTAGCGAGCATAAACATTGTCGGGTCTAGACAATAAACTGGAATTGCACGTCAACCTCTTTGCCAGAAATGACACATTCAAGCAGCAAAATTGATAATGAAACAAAAGAAATCAGCCCACGTAACACAAATTCTGAAAGAACTACACTGGCTGCCAATAAAAGAAAGGATTAAATACAAAACTGCCGTTCCCTGTTTTAAATGTATAAATGATAGTGCACCTTTTTATCTTAAAACATTTCTGGAATTATATAATCCACCTAGAGCCCTTAGATCAGCCTCTGACAATCTAATTCTTAAAACTCCAAAACAAAATTACAAAACATACGGCGAGCGTTCCTTTTTGTTCTTTGGTCCCCAGGTATGGAACGAACTCCTATATAAAATAAGATCTGCCCCAACAATTTCCATTTTCAAAAATCAGCTGAAGCATTTTTTATTCACAAAAGCATACCTGTCATAATGATTTACTGTGATATATATATATATATATGTATGCCAGACTGTGAGACTGAAGAAATAGCGAGTGAGAATGAGAGAGAGAAAAAGAGAGAGATAGAGAGAGAAAAGAGAGAGAAAAGAGAGAGAGATAGCGAGAGAGGGAGAGAGAAAGAGAGAGAGATAGAGGGAGAGGGAGAGGGAGAGGGAGAGAGAGGGAGAGAGAGAGAGAGAGAGAGAGAGAGAGAGAGAGAGAGAGAGAGAGAGAGGGAGAACGGAAATGTTTTTCTATCTGTATAGAATTAATGTTTTAATGAATGTTTCTAGTTACTCACGTTTCAACTTTATTTTGACTGTTCGTGAATTTTTATTGCATTGTATATTTTTAGTGAACACATTTTCAACCTCACTGCGAGACTGTTTTTCTGGTGTAAAATTTTACACATATGCATTTATATTATATGTATAATACTTTGTTTTACGTACACATTTGTGTCGATTAATTTTTAAGCTGTGATGTCTTTTTCATTGTAATAGCGTTTGAGCATCTTTTAGGAAATGGAAATGCGCAGTATAAATACTATTTATTATTATTATTATTATTATTATTATTATTATTATTATTATTATTATTATTATTATTATTATTATTATTATTATTCAGGTATGTCGAGCACATTAATTGAAACAGTGCTGTCTCAAAACAAAATAAGCAAAGTGCAGTTCTTTCCCAATGAACCACCTCACCTGGTTCCCAAACTCTGACATAAAACAAAAATATTGATCATGCCACCATGTAGATTCAATTAACCAATAATTTCTATTGATGTCACATTTGAGCGTGCAATGCCACATTTGAAAAAGAAGTATTGATCTTATACGGCGTGTCACTAACAAATTAAATTCGCGTCACATTTGAACTTTCAATAATACGAAACTTCAACACTGTCAAATTGATTTTTGTTCTTGCTATGTCACATTCAAACTTGCTATGTTCCCATTTGAAGAGGAAATACAACAGATAGGATGAACTTGCAGGTGTTTCGTAGATTGTTATGTTGTCGGCCTCAGCCGAATTCGCTCGCTGTAAACTAAGATTTCCCCTTGACCTTGACCTTGACTTCACTTGTCATCTTTCCCGTTGTCTGGTTGACTGTCGGGGCACCACTGCAGATTTTACAATCAGCTTCTTCCACCCCTTGCAGTTCTCAGTTTTCCGCCAGTCCACTCTTTGATGTTATCTTCCCATCGTTGCCTCTATCAGCCTCTTCGTCTCCCTTCTGGTGCTATTCCCTGTAGGATGCTAGTCTTGGCCAGTCCAGATGAAAGTGCGAGGTGTCCGTACCACTTCAGTTTGCGACTTTACAGTCAGGAGGTCTTCAGTCCGGGCGGTGATGATGATATTATATTAAGAGTTAATCTACAACACCCCCCCCCCTTCCAAGAAAGCAACAAAAAGCTAAAAAAACCCAAAAAAACAAAACAACAACAACCAAACCCAAACAAACAAAAAAATCAAACAAGCAAATGCGAAGAATTAAAAAATGAATGAATGAATGAATGAATGAATGAATGAATGAATGAATAAATCAATCAATCAATCAATCAATCATTCAGTCAATCATTCAATCAAAATAGATAAATAAATGAATGAATAAATGAATAAATGAATGTATAAATACGCACGCTAATCAATAAATAAATAAATAAATAATCCACCGATCCTTCTGCCTTCAGAAGACGGAGACGCATCACTGCAGCGTCTGTCAAACCCACCAACGTCGCCCCTGACAACCATAACATCGGCACCCTCTGGCAATCGACCAGGGAACGTCGCTCTTCCTGTTCCGAGAGGTCATTTTTACATTTGTTTGTTTGTTTGTTTGTTTGATAAGATAAGACGTATCTTTATTGTCCAGATCCTAGCATATTGGTTTGGTGTTTCATCACGTAAACACATGCATACACACAGGCATACACACAGGCGCACACACAGGCACACACGCACGCACGCCCCATTGCCCCCCCCCCACCAAAAAAACAAAATACCGACACACACAGTATGCTTGCACTCCCAAACAGGCTTACAGTCACATGTACAATACAAGTGAACAGTTATAATTATAAACAATAGACATTAGTTTGTTTGTTTGTTTTGTTTGTTTGTTTGTTTGTTTGTTTGTTTGTTCGCTTTTTTAAAAGAGATTTATTTTACAGCAAACGGGGAATCGTCGTTAACGTGCAGCTGGGGAAGAATATAGAGCATGTGGGGGAAGATCCCTTTTAAGAATGAAAGGGAATTCTCCCTAATCTTCTCAACGGAGCTGTGGATAGAGGGCACCATTGGTATGTCCTTTTCCTGTTCTTTCCCCTTTTTCGTTTCTTGCTTCTTCCCTGTGATAATCATAATTACCAGTGGGTGGTTGGCGGGCGCTCTTGTGTGATTTGCTCCTTTTTCCTATCACACATCTATCTTCCTGATCTCCCAAGCTTCTTTTTTGTATTTGTTAATTTCTTGTAGCATCTCTAATCTTCAGCTCTTATATGACCTAATTGCGTTGCAAGTGCCGTAAAACTTTTAGTAAAACTAAAAGTAATAATGACCGTGGTCGTGTCGCTGTGCGTCGTTTTACTCAAACTCAAGCTCAAACTCAAATTCTAACTTCCCCACGCACAGAATACGACACCCATCGCTTGTATAAAGTGACGGAAGGACTGAAGATACAGATCACGTGTCGTGTCCCCTGGGCCAAGGCCAGTCTGGCCAGGGGTCAAGGTCAAGGGCAGCTATCCACTCTGACCCTGTGGAAGTTATCCACGGTTCGCCTTCGCCAGCACACACAGAAGAGACGAGGCGGGCACGAGGCGGGTGGTGACGTGAGCGGTGTTGATGGTCATGTTTTGGCGCGATTTTCTTCGACGTCGTTACCCGGGAACTGGACAGTCAGGGTAAGCTCTAATGTCCACCATAACTATACGATACCACCCAACATAAGCCCATGTATCCACCAAAATGACACGACAACTCCCAAAAGTAGCTTTCGTGTCCACCAAAACGATATATCTCCAAAAATACGCTTTTGTGCCCTCCAAAACGACAGGACACCTTCCAATATAATAATTATTATGCTCACTTGCCTACAAAAACGACACGAAAGCCCCCCGCATAATAATCTGGCATGTCCACCAAAACGACACGACACTTCCTAACGTAACTGCCGTGCCTCTGACAAGACGCCGTGTTCTATTCAAAGCAGTTTCGAGATTTTTTTAAAAAAAAGGCGTATTTCCGAAATTTTAATTCTAAATTCTTCAACAACTAGTTACAGTTTCACTTTGATTTTTTTTCACAGAAGTAGGGTATCTGATGAGGCTATCTCTTTAGAAAAAAGAGAATTGACACCAAAAATGTAAAAAAGGCATTTTGTCAGCTTAGGGCAGATAAGCCCACCATGTGTCCATCAAGACGACACAACACCTCCCAACCAGCCCCCACGTCCACCAAAACGACATATCTTCCAAAATAAGCTTTCGTGTCCAGCAAAACGACACGAAAGCTCCCTGCATAAAAAGCTCGTTACTTGTTACTTGTGTGAAGGACCGACATCACTGCGCAAGGGGCATACCCATAAGCGCTCCATCCCCTGAAGAAGCTCAGCAGATGCTGACGGTTCCAAGCAATGATTGATTTCATAGCCTTCTGCTCCTCACCCTAAGTCTTGATCTTCTGCAGGCGCCCCATCCAATTCCAAGCTCACAAAGTCGTTCAAGATGATGGTATTCCGACTCTTTTTGTTCTTTTCCCCGTTTTTCCCTGACCGAACGCACAATTTCAGGTTAGTCGGGGCACAGCTTCCCTTCAGGTTTTGCTTTCCCAGCGAGCTCATCAGCCCGCTCATTGCCCTTGGCTCCACCATGGCCCGGGGTGAAGATCCTGGTGATCTTTTTCAGTGTCGTCTTCTTCAGGAGCTTTGTACATTCAGCTCTTTGCTGCTTTGAGAGTCTTTGACAAAAATCACACGTGCTTGTCGAGTTGTTGTAACCCATTTGAGAGCTTGAGTGATTTTCTATATCTCCAATCTCATGCTAGATGTTGTCATATCGTATGCTCTCTGCTGTTCCTGCACAAATCTGCCACTCACTCTTGCTGAGAAGCCCCATCCAGATTTTCCCCATCATTTAACATATCAATCCGTGTATACAATCACATCTCCATGCCGTGAGTTGTCTTCAATCAGTTGTCGTATCTGAGCATTTGTCGCTCCATGCAGCCACTCTCTACATTCTCTGTTCAGCGTAATCACTGCCTTCCCAAAATCTCCCTGCTGTCTCTCATTCATCGTTATCCATTCTTCCATCCCGCTTTATATCTTCCATTGGGCAGACTTTCTTGATGGTGTTTTCAGACTCGGCCATCCAAGAAGCTCTTCGTTTTAGTCAATTTCCCTTGATGGCTCCAATGGCTTCGTGAATTGGGTGTTGCTTATCAGCGGCCACCCTCATGTACGCCCTGACCTAAGCCACTTTATGTCTGTTTCCAACTGACATAAGGCCCAATAAATGCCTCATACAGATAATTGGCGTATCCCTGGTGCAGCCTAGTAGATGAGCATGGCTTCATTTTGAACTCCATCCTACTTGTCTGTTGGTTTTTTTGTCAAGGTCAATACTTCGAGCCTATAATCGATGACCAGCTGCTGATACATAAGAAGTAGTAGCCTTTGTTCCATTCCTGAAGACGCCATGACCTTCACTGCATTCAAGCCCTTCTTTTCCCTTTCCACAACACCATCTTTGAAGGATAGATTGCGATTGAAAACCATTCCCAGACACCGCATCTTCTGACATTTTTGAATATTCTGTCCATTTACCCGTCAGCTCTGGGACATCTGTCTTTACTATTCGATTGTTTAAAGAGCACCACAGTGCTGCGGCCTTCTGAGGATTGATCACTGCGGTCGATTCAGCACACCACTCAATGATTTTCTCAACCTATCGCTGTAATTCATGTGTCATTTTCTGCCGATCCCGTCCTTGCCTGTAGCCCAAGATGTCATCTGCAAATGTTAGTATTCTCCCTGGCCCAACGCTGTTCAGCGTTGCAATGCGAGCAGTGTAGACATTGTACAGTATGGGCGATAAGGATGAGCCCTGTGGGAGTCCTGGTATTATCACCTGTGGGCTTGAAGTCCATTGATCACATCGCAAAGCCACTTTTCTTTCTAGCAATGCCGCTGCAATCCACATAATTATCCACGGATTCACGTCGCAATCTAGCAGAGCACACATTAGCCTCTCATAATTTACCCTTCATGAAAGCCTTCATATACATCACTCGTGAAAGTCCCTGCGTTGTTCTAAGTTTCCTTTCTGGGTCTGTAACTCCCTAACTCCTTAGTTAGGTTCCTGTTGTTCTCTAGCTCATTCATAAGTATTCTTGCTATGCATTCGTCTAGCACTTTTCCATACCCATTTTGCATGGTGATAATGCGGTCTCCGTTGAGTTCTTTGTGATTCTTCACAGATTTTGGTAGTGGCTTTAAATAACTGTGCAGCCACTCTTCTGGTACGGTTGTTGTCCTGATGGTGCTGCGGTAGTCATCCACAATTTTTTCCAGTTCCTCGTCACTGAGCTCTTTAAAGTGTTTGTGCTGTATCCCATCTGGACCTGGCGTTGTCATCACCCTGATCAGTCTGTGTGACGTTTCTTTTAAGAAACGCTTCTCCTTTGTTTGCTTCATCTCTCAGAATAGTCATTCCATCAATGCTCTCGATATCCGACATTGAATCTGCTGTGCGCCCTTTGTTCAATCACCTCTATCATGGTGTAACTTTCAAAATTTTTGTATACCTTTGTCTTGTCCGATTTCCCCGACAAATTTCTCCCACCTTCCTTTTTTTCGCTGCTTTGGCTATTTCCTTAAAATCCACACATTATTCTCCTGTTCTTTGTTTCGGCAGCCTCCTGGATGATGTGTTGCTCACTGGTGTTGTCCTTGCGAAGTTGTTGCCACTTTCTGACCCCTTGCCTTTTCCTCTTCCATTCTTCCTCACATTCCTCGCTCCGCCATGTTGATTGTACAATCTGTTTTTTTATTCGGTTTTCGGGATACTCTACTTCGCAGCTTCCCAAGCTCTGCGTCATTGTCTTTCTTGCAAGTAAAGGCTTTCATTCGGCGCTTGTTTCTTAGTGGTCTGCGGCTTCCCTTTTCGATCATTACGATGCATGGAAGGTGATCACTTTCGTGTTGCCCTAAAACGTCCCACTTTGTGTAGAGAGTAGCTCCAGATGACACTAAATCCAGATCTATAATCCCATCCGAATCTCCCGGTCTCGTTGCCAGTCGTGTAGGTCTTCCATCGTTTATGCAAATCAGTGGCAGCTCTAACAGTGTTCCTCTAAGTGCTATTCCTTGTCCATTCTCTGTTGCATTGCCCTACTCTCGGCATCTCTACATAAGATCACACAAAAAATTCCAGTCCCTCTCATGAACCAACTGGTTATTTACAGCATAGATGTTAAACACATTCCATCTCATGTCTCCACCTTTAACTAGGATACTCTGTACTTCCATACCATGCTGGCTCCATTCTTCCACATTCAAAATCTTATGGTCAATGCTGTCTTTCACCAAAATAGCTGTTCCATGTCCATCATCTATGGGGTTTCTTAAAAACTATAACCAGGGATGATAATTCTTGTCTTAGCCTCTAACCGTGTTTCTTACAACAAGAGAACATCAAAATCATAAACCAGCCGATCAATGATGGGTCTTCTCTGATTCTTGCTCCGACAATTCCAGTATCCTATCCGCATATATTTTTTACTCAGTCTGTCCTCTTTTTTTCCTGTCTCCTCGCGCCTGTCCTTCGCTTTCGGTTTCTTCTTCTCTCTCCCTGTCCTCGTCGTCGGCATCTACTTTTTTCTGCCTGTACTGGATCAGATCTCGAGCTCAGTGCACCGTCCCCGTCGCTCCGCGATGATCCTTTCAATTAGGAAAATATTTCTCCATGTCCTTTTTTAATAATTGCGGGAAATAGTCCAGTCTATCTGGCTGAGCCTGCTTGTCAGACATCGTTATACAAACAGAGGCTCTTGACATCTGACCCTCCGCCATTCAGCCCCTCGGCACGTCTGCCATGAGCTTGGGGATTATTTTTTCGAGGTTGTCTCCTCTAGATCCGTCGTGTTCTGTCCCCGGCCCGCAAGGTCTAGGTTAACAGGGTCACCTCGTGAAGGATGAGGCTCTTCGCTCACGCACAACGGCCTTGAAGTACGAGTGGTATACCAAAACCAGAGGACTAACATCGTATAACCACCGAAAAGACACGACACCTCCCAATATTATAAATACAAGATACAGACCCGTTCTACGAACGGTGATATTGTGATAGGAAATCCCAAGATAGATGTTTGTACCTGATTCATTGCCGTATGACCAGTGAGTAGATGACATTGCTGGTATATGCGCCATCTGGAACGCCGTCCTGTGCAGCAGGTCTGTTTGCATGTATCCTATTATAGTACATGGACCCAACATGACTCATTGCAACCTGCAACTGATCAACTGAAAAAATTCCCCTTGAAAAGAAACGCCTGCCCTTTTCAAAGTCTGTCCCTGAAATTATTGGCAGTCATCGCTAAAGCAGGTCTAACAAGAAATGTTTCCGTCGCATATGGAAGGGAAATAATACGTTGTCTGAAGGCATGAGGGGAATCCTTGGAATGAAAAGTCTGTTTCCGGCATGTGGATCGCAAACGATGAGAGCATCAATTACACGTTGATGAAGGTGTTGAACCACATGTAGAGTCCCGTTGCAGTGGCCATTTGTGGCGTCCAGATTTTCCAGCAACATGACAATGCTGTCTTTCCGCAATGTCAGTTTGTGGGGTGGCATACCTGATAGACATATGCATCTAGGATATAGAGATCTAGAACTAGAACCTTGCCCTATAAAAAGCTTCAAAGAAAATACGCTCCAAAGTTTGTAAACGTAATACAACGAATGAACATTTTGAGGTTTTAAAGAACCTCAACGTGTTGGAGACATCAGTACACCAAATACATCTAGAAAAAGTCAATTCAGTGAAGTTTTGACCTGAAGTATCCATCGACACTGCGAAGCACACATCCAAACAGAGTTCGATATCGAGATTCTAGATCTGGAAACAGTAGAAACAGTTTTGTAAACACGAAGTAGAACTTTGTGGCACATACACGACAAAAGCACAAACCGCACTTCTGTTTTGCTAACTACTCCAAATAAAACTTGAATTCTTTGCTCCAAATAAATCTAGAATAGAGAGATCCAGATTTAGAGTCTTGCTCTATAAAAAGAACTACGCACCAAATACGCGCTAAATTTTGAAAACGTCAATACAGTAAAGTTTGGCTTGAAGTATCCATCGACACTGCGAAGCACATATCCAGACAGGGTTAGATATCAAGATTCTAGATCTGAAAATAGTAGAAGCAGCTGTCTCACATACACGATGAAGCACAAACCGAAATGGAAGTAGTCCCCAGTAAAATATGAAATAGCTAATGGCAGAGTGAACATACCTGAGAGCTTCGATTTACAGGAAAAACCATCAAACCTTAAAATTCAAAAGGTAGTTTCTGAACTTTAAAAATATGCCCACGAAACCCTTTGTGACAATTGTTAACTGAATCATATTTTCGTAGATTTTATGGGCATCTGTGTAAAACATGTAGAGATATCTACTGACCTTACAAACGGGCTCAGCTCCATTATATATATAAATAAATAAATAAATAAATAAATAAATAAATAAATAAATAAATAAATAAATAAATAAATAATAAATGTCGGTTTCTTTGATTTGTTATTGTGACGAGCGCTTAATTCCACCACGATACCACACAACCTTTTTCCTTCCACGGGGTTCGAACACTTGTTCTCCGAAACGCCAGGAACCCGTTCACTGGGTAGTGGCCGTGCGGAAAGACCCCCCTAAGGTTTCACTGACCAAACCAGTGGCCAAGTGCTCGGACAGCGCCCAGTACCTGTGTATGGCCATCTACTCGTTGACCGCTGGCGGAGTGATCAAGCAGCAACAGTTGACGAAGGTCAAGGTGATAGGTGAGATCATGCTCAAGTGTTCTGATCCTGGTTTTACACCTGTTTTATACGTTTTTGGGTGGATATGAAAGTAGCATTTGTGTAAGTGCTCCAATATTATACTAGTAAGGAATAGAAAGCAATAATAAAATAAGTTATGCGACCTATTATGTATGTGCTTATGTATGTGTGTATTTGTGTATGTGTGTAAGTGTGTATGTGTAATTGTTTATATGTGTGTTCATGTGTGTACATGTGTGTACGTGTGTCTGCGTATAATATGTATGCATGTGTACATATGCGTGTATTTGTGTATATGTGTGCATGTGTGTATGTGTATGTGTGTATTATGTGTTTGCATGTGTGTGTATGTGCGTATGTATGCAAGCATGCACGGGTGCATGTGACTGTATGTATGTCTATACATTCCCCAGCCCGTCTGATGCGTCCCAAACTCACACACCTTCAGTCCATGGACAAGAGAAGTCTGACTCTCACAGAGACCTTCACATGTCAAATCATAGTAAGACAAAAAGAGTGACATGGACTTACTAGTTTTGTTTTTTGTTTCGGCAATTGTTTCACAGCACTCACAATTTTTCCTCATACGGTCATATGAACGCGAGGGACACAATAAACCTTTTCAGTTTGGTGGGAATTTATTTTGAACTGTGCCCGAGTGGCGGCCGAAGCCTACTCTTATCGATTTTAGACCAACAAGGGATTTTTAACGTTCGCAACTTGAACTCGGGCCCTCCGAGATTTTTTCGCCCTTATCCGAGAAGGTTAGGTGTTAGATCTTACTTTTTCTAAGATCAAGGGTGTGGCTAGAAGACAGCAGTAAGAAGGAGCCAACGAGCAGCAGTAGAAAGGCTGCAAAAAGAATCAGGGGCCCGGATGAGGGAGAGGGTGGGGGAGAGGTGGGGGCAGAAAGTGGTGATGACAGCAAACGACAGAAAGTGGTTAAAGAGCAGGAAAGGAGTTGTAAGGAGAATATTTGAGAAAAGAAAATTTTCTTTTATTGTCAGGTTTCGACCCTGAGACCTATTGAGTGAGACGAGAACACCGTAACCTCTACACCACAAGAGCCCCCCAAATTACTGATTTAATCCGAAGATAAAAAATATACAATTATCGGTCGTTCAGATAAAGACAATTAAAATAATGTTATAGGACAAATTTTTATTGATTTCCTGTGAGTTTGGGTATTGAGATTACAAAGCTACAATAACTGTCTATTTGTCTTTTCAGGCACTATTTTACTTTTTTGTGTGTGTGAAATTTTGGAGGAAGGGGGTCATAACGCCACATGATTATTGTCCTCTGGGTACTTTGCCCCGGAACGAAGGGCCTTTTTTGTTGGAATTTTTTTTTCGTTTCATTTCTTCATCTTGCTCAGGCGTCAGGTCTGGAGCAAACATTGACCATCGCAGCACCCGACTTATGATTCTGTTGTCAGTTCTCCTGATTGTGTTGCATGTCATAATACTGTTCCAGCCATCAGTGTATGTTGTTCTCTGTCTTTTTCGGCTCTCCCCCCCCCCCATACTTTTGCCCCACAGTAGCAGTATCTCAAATCCCCTTCTCTATACCGGTGATATAGAAAGAGAAGAAGACAGAGCTGCACTCTGAGCCTTTCACCTAAGTTTTGCTAAGTACTCTAAGAAGTAGTTTTGATATAAAAAATAAAAATTTGATGCTCGAATTTTCTCCACTCTTAGGCAGTTTCTATAGATTTCAAAATGTATTTGGCTCAACACTTTTTATGTCCATTTGAAAACATATTTCTTCCTCAATTTTACTGAAAAATGGTAATCAAATACGCCTACTGCCCCTGAAAAAAATGTAACTTTGCAGTTACCAAAGTAACTCAGCTGTGGAAGTTGCCAAACTTTTGCGGCCATTTTCTCGCTAATTTCACCTCTGACACCAGGCGACCCCATCTTCTTAAAATCCCAAATATCTCTACTTTTATTCAAGATATCATTATATGGCTATTTTTTAATGAAAAGCAAGACAAATGAACAAACTTATAAAGATAACAATAACACCAAATCGATACTTCAGAATTTTTATATTCTATCTGATATTTTAGGCCGTTTAGAGTTACTAAGACCGTAACGCCAGAAACGATTTATTAAAATCGTAAGATTATCCGGAGCTGTCGTCAAGATATTCAAAGAATTGCATTTAAAAAAAGCTTTACATGTTGTTAAACTCAAAATTTTTGACGTCAAGCTTCTCAAAACTAGACACTCAGCAGGCATAACTTATTTATTCTGGGGAAGTGATACCGAACAATTGTCGAGAGCCTGATTCCACCGCGTCATGACACAAAGAACCCCTCAGCCTCACTCCTAGCTCCCGTTTCCATAAGTCCCTACCCTAGAATCATTACAAAGTTTTACGTGCACAGCACCTAGTTTTGAAAAAATAAGTTAGAATTTTCGAGCTTCACAACATATCAAGCCATTTCGAATGCAATAGTTTGAATACCAGTATCTTCATAACGGTTCCGGATAACTTACGATTTTGATAGAGCAGATAGAACATTTATTGGTTTCTGACCTCATTGTTTTGGTAACTCAAAACGACAAAAAATGTCAGATAGAACTTTATAATTCTGAGGTACCACATTATCAAAATATTTAATCACTGCCAGGGTCCCGAGTCCATCACGTGGTCGTGGCGTAAAGACTGCCTGCAGATGGGACGTGTCTTCCACAGGCACTACAGCGCACATTCTGATAACGTTACCGTCGACACGCACGAGAAGATGGCTGCGGGGGTGAAAGGTTACACGACACTCGCTAATTTGGGAAAGTAAAGTATATCTCACTATATACCCCCCCCCCCCGGGGGGGGGGGGGGGGGGGGGGGGGGACACATGCCTTTGCTTACGGCTACGATAAGAGTCCGCTGTTTCCCGACGTGAAAAGTTACATGTCACTAGCTTGTTTGTGAAATGTAAAGTATAATTATCTCACATGCCTCGCTCCCCCTCGCCCACATGCCTTTGCATATTATGTCGACGATCAAAGCCGACTGTTTCCGAGGGTGAAAGGGTAAATGACACTAGCTAGTTTGGTAAAAAAAAATGTAAAGTATGACCAACACATGCCTTTGCATATTATGGTGAAGGTCAAAGACCCCTGCTTCCTGTTTGTGTAAGATAGCACTCATCATTGACCCCTTTTTGGGGCCTTCCCCGGTGACCATCAGGTCTGCACACTAAGTCAAGCACGTTCGAAATGGGACTATACTTTACTTTTTACCATTTTTCTCAACAGCAAGTTTGTTGGGGTTTTTTTTTTCAGTTTCGTGGAATGTAGCAGTAATTTTGTGCCACACATCATGAGTTAGCCGGTTGTTTAATTTGGTTGTTTAAGTAAAGAGAAACACACTGACACAGTGATGGTTATTTTGTGCTGGAGAAAAGTAAGACAGACAGATAGACAGACAGAAAGATAGACAGACAGACAGACAGATAGAAAGAAAGACAGAAAGACAGACAGACCAACATCGCACTCGCTCTAATGCTTTTTTGGGGGTTTTTGTTAAGTGTTTTACGGCGCTCGCAACTGCATAAGGTCATATGAGCGCGCGGGACACACTTAATATTTTCAGTTGGTAGGACATTTTGAATTTTGACCGGGTGGCGGCCGAAGCCTACTCTTATCGATTTTAGACCACCAAGGGGTCTTTAACGTGCGCAACTTGCACACGGACCCTCCGAGATTTTTCGCCCTTGTCTGAGAAGGCTAGGTGTAGATCTTTCCTACCAGAAGATCAGAGGTATGGCAGAAAGACAGCAGTAAGGAGGAGCCAAGGAGTAGCAGTAGAAAGGCCGCAGAAAGAGTCAGGAGCCCAGAGGAGGGGGCAAAGGAGGTGGGTGAGGGGGTGGAGGCAGAAAGTGGAAATGAAAGCAGACAACAGAACATTGCTAGAGAGCAGGAAAAGAGGTGAAAGGAGAAAATTGTAGAGAAGAAAATTTTTTGGTCGCTACCTGGATTCGAACCCGGGACCTTTGAATGAGAGGCCAATACCTTAACCTCTAGGCCACGAGAGCCCCCGCTCAAATGCTAACAACTTGACAAGATCTAATTCTAAGGTGCATCTGTTTGACTCCCCAAGACCATGTGACAACTGTTGTTGCTTGCTCCCTGCAGCAGACTGTTCGAGGTTCGAGTCTGCTAGCACACTGAATACAGGCCGTGTCGTTTTGGGCCAGGTGTGTAACGTGACGTGTATCGTGACGGCGTTGCCGGTGCCCAATGACACCTCACGGATGACACAGAGGACACGAACGTGGATTGGGCTTACTCGTGAGTGAGTTGTTATTGGTTGTTGTTGCTGTTGTTGTTGTTGTTGTTGTTGTTGTTGTTGTTGTTGTTTCTGTTGTTTTTGTTGTAGCTGTTGTTGTTGTTGGTGGTGGTGGTGGGAGTGGTTGTTGTTGCTGTTGCTGTGCTTTTGTTGTTGGTCGTGGTGGTGTTGGTGTTGGTTGTTGGTTACGGTGGTGGTAGAGTTTGTTGCTTTTGTTGTTGTCTGTTGTTGTTGTTGTTGTTGTTGTTGTTGTTGTTGTTGTTGTTGATGATGATGATGATGATGATAATGGATGTGGTGGTGGTGGTGATGGTGGTGATTGTGTTGTTGTTGTTGTTGTTTTGTTTTTGCTTTTTGTTGTTGTTGATGTTGTTGTTGTTTTTGTTGTTGTTGTTGTTGTTGTTGTTGTTGTTGTGTGTGGTAGCCTATCTGTTCAAAATGTATGGAGCCCCGAAGAGCGTGCTCTTTGCCAGGGCCACCGCCTCTCTTGGGTAAGTAGCGGGTGAGGCAGTCCAACCTCCCTGAATCCTCCCCAAAGAGATGCGCGGACCTCCGGGGCGGGCCATCTCTGCAGTCAGTTCTCCAAATCTTGGGGCTCCTCGCTGCACAATGGACAGATTGGGTCCGATGTTTTGTCTATTTTATCATTTTAGGCCCGCAGCCCAGAGCAGTGACCGGTTCTGATTTTTGCCAGTAGTGTCTGGTCACTGCGGGACTTAATTTGAACCTCTCGTTTTAAGGAAATTGCCCTGTATATTTCCTTCGTCCGCGTGCGGAATATCGGAGTGTCTTTTGTGATGAATTTGTTCCTGGGAGCACGCACTTTCATGTGATTTGGCGGCCTGGACCCGGCAGCGCTGTTGCCAGTTTGGCATTACTGTCAGCGAGATCGTTGCCGAGAATATCGCAGTGACCAGGGATCCACTGAATGGTGGGTTGGGGTGTTGCATTATTTACGCGTAGTCGCAATTGATCGAAGGATGGTGATGTTCCCACCAGTGCCATGCATAACGATTGACTGTCAGGGAAGATAGCGACCGAGCTGGATGCATCGCACTGTTTGTCAATCCAGTCAATGGCCGTTTCCAAGGCTCTCCTCTCTTCCTCGAAATTACACGTGAATAGAGCGCCTTTCTCCCATAGTGTCTCGACAACGGTCGGTTTGGACGATCCCCCGTTGTGATGACGACCCCAGCGCCACCATCCGTTGTCCCTGCACTAACCGAGCCGTCGGTGTAGATTTGTACTGTGCGCCAAGCTCTCGTGCTCGACGAACAGCAGCGCTTTAGATCTTCGCCCTGGAGTCGCTACTCCCGCTTATGCCGTACAGGTGGAGGAAAGCATGCCGGCGTTGATTCCCCGTTTCCAAGGCCTGGTTTCGAAATAAGTAATAGGCCTCCTCTCGCAGTTGAACAGATGTGGGCTCTTTTTGCTGGCGTCTTCGGCCCTTTCTCGGAAATCTCTGCTTCCCTTTAGGCGTCTGTGCCCTTGTTCCGATGCCACAATTCGTCGAGGGTGGTCGTTGTTTATTCACAGGGCTTTCTCTCTTGATCGGAGGAAGTTAGCATTGATGGTGGACTCAGTGCTTGGGACCACCGTTTCAGCTCGAAGTACCTCGATGGGTGAGGATTGGGCTTGGGTGGTGATCAGTCGCAGACATCTATTTTGAACCACCTCCAGATTATTTATCAGAGTTTTGCTCAGCCACGGTTGCCAGCTGCTGCTCGCAAAGTTGAAGACACATTGTAGGCCTATATGGGTCAGGTAGACCTTGCTTTGGTCGTCTTTCTTCCATCCCCATTTTGAGTGCGCGACAGCGCCGAGCATCCTCATCTTCTGTGTGGCCTTAGCTATTACTGTTGTTGTTGTTGTTGTTGTTGTTGTTGTTGTTGTTGTTGATGTGCTTCATACGGGAGACCCGAGTTACATTCCCGAGTGGGTTGAACATATTTTTTTTTCGAGTATCTCGGGCTTTCTGTTGGGATGTTGTATCACTCTTAGCATGTTTTGACCCTTACAAATAGTTTCGTAAACCTGCCTCCTGAAAATAAAATAAACTGGGGAGGGGTTGAAGAGTACCTTCTTGTTTATGTTTGTTATACTTTTGTAAAACCTCTAATTTTCGGCACTTATATGACTTTCTAATTGAATTGCAAGTACTGTAAGCAAAACCTAATTTTAACATCTGCCCCTCATTCTACAAGCCCTCCCCCCTCCCCCCCCTTTTTTCACATACACACACATACACACAAACACACACACACACAC